ACTACAAGTCTCCAAGTCAGTTGGACTACGAGCAACACGAAAATTTCAAAAAGTAATCATCATCCAATTGTTATCTCTTTTATCAATGATTCAAACAAACCCAGACAAGTATACAGAGTTCGAACAGCAAATGTCCTTTGCCAAATGAATAAAATGACGGTGGGAAATAATTTAGAAGAATTCTATGACAATGTTAATAATATTATTTCAAGTAACAAAATTCGCCTGGATCCCAGAAACAAGTATGTCCCCAAGCCTTGGTGGGATGAAGATATTAAGTCATCAGTGATCTTTGCTTAACGTTGACGCATTTTTTTTCTATCATGGCATCAATTACGCCAAAATCGCTGTGTGCAAAGTGTTTTAAACCTTTAAATGCTGAAAAATATATAAGGTGTAACATTTGTGGTTGCCGGTTTCATTATATCTGCACTGAAATTGTTGATGTAAATATATTTGAAGTTATTAAAAAAACTAAAAATATATTTTATAATTGCAATGAATGCATAACAAACTCGAGAGAATTGGTTTCTTCCGTGTCTATGCTCTCAATTGAAGTTAGAGAGCTTAAGAAAATGCTGGTTGATTTAATTTCCCAATTTGATGTTTTAAAAGGAGCTGAAAGTCATAATCTCAATACCGGTTTGTCTAGTTCTGCTGCTCTTGGCATGATTAGTCGAGCGTCTCTCTCAGATAATCATCATTTATCTAATATCTCACCACTTGGTGTTGTTGCTGCTAATGCTGATCCCGTTTCCATAGAAGCCTCTCATTTATCTGTTGTGAATGCTGGTTTTAGCAACACAAGCAATGCAGTTAATGAGTCTGTTATTGTTGCAGATGCTCCAAACAGAGAAGCCTCACAATTATCTATCAATAATGTTATGCGTGATGGTATTGCTGATACTGCAGTCTGCGGTGAGCGCATTAGTTTATCAGCTGGTGCCTCTCCCCATGGTATCTCGTCTTTAAATCATAACCCAACGAACAATGTTGATGGGGTTAGAAATATAACTAATGTTAAACATAAAAAAGCGGTTTTTGGTCAAAATTCGAGTAACGAGTTGGATGTCGTAGTACATAAAAAATGGATTCATTTATCATCGTTTAAACCTACTGTTGTTGCTGAAGATATAATAGCCTACGTTGAAAAGCACTCTAGTATAACTAGAAATCATTTAACGTGTTATAAGCTTGTTAAAAGCGATGCAAACCTTGATGAACTGAGAAGTGTTAATTTCAAATTGGGTGTTACAGCTGATTTCTACAATGAAATTTTTAAGCCGATGTTATGGCCATCGAATGTGAGAGTGCGGCCATTTCATAATTTTCCCAGGGTCCAACAGGAGCAACCTCCAGCTTAATCAACCATAGCCTTTCCTCTCTTAAAATATATTATCAAAATATGTCTGGTATACGAACTAAATCTTCTGATATTTTTATGGAAACATCACAATGTAATTATGATGTCATTGTTTTTGTGGAAACGTGGCTTAATTCTGATTTTTATGATGGTGAATTTTTTGATACCAAGCTGTATAAATTGTACCGTAAAGATCGAGACATAGCTAAAACTGGATGTTCTCGTGGTGGTGGTGTGCTTATAGCTATTAATCTATGTTTTAATTCCGTATTAATTAATTTGCCAAATAATGACAGTTTATTGGACCAACTTTGCGTACGTATCATCGGTGCTACTAATTCAATTTATATTCTTGCTTCGTATATCCCACCTAAATCGCCAACAAGTCTTTATGATGCACATATCCAAAATATTGTTGATATTGTTCCAGAATCTGAAAATGATGGCTGTTTTATTGCGGGTGACTTTAATCTATGTAAATTAGTTTGGTTCTCATACCCTAATTCATCATTTATGTATGCTAATAATGTTAATTTATCGCATGAAATTAATTTTATTGATTCTATGCTTAGTCTTGATTTAGTCCAAGTGAATTGCTTTCCAAATTATTTAAATAGATATTTGGATTTAATATATTTAAGTAAGAATATTAACTTCAAAATAGAATTATCAGATCATCCAATAGGTAACGTTGATTTAAATCATGTTGCGCTTGTTGTAACCATTGAATTTTACAGTTTTAGTTCTAATATAATTGATAACTCACATTTTGATTTTAAGAGATGTGATGTCAATATTCTAAATGAAATTATTCAAAGTTGTAACTGGGAAAGTTTATTCATAAATAAGTCCATAGATGAATGTTTCGATATTTTTCTTGTTAATATAAAGGGAATATGTTCTGAGCATGTGCCTACATTGAATCCTATTAAGTATAAAATACCATGGTATACCCCAGGTTTAAAAAAACTAAAGAACCTCAGGAACAAATTTTACAAACTCTATAAATCCACAAATTCGTTTGAAAATCATAATAAATATAAGCACTATAGCAGAGAATTTACATTCCTTAATAAGTTTTTGTACAAACAATATATTCTTGATTTTGAATCTAAAATTAATAATAATCCAAAGGCATTTTGGTCTTTTATTAAACAAAAGAAATCGTCCAGTGATTTTCCAATACCAATGGTGCTTGATTGTAAATATGCAACATCTTTCAAAGATATTGCTGAATATTTTGCTTCATTTTTTAAATCCAATTTTGTCCCAACTGATGTTGCAGATAACAACATTTCGTTGGATTTTGTTAAGGAAGTCATAAATATGGGTTCTATTAAATTAAATGAAACAGACGTATTACGTGGTTTTGAAATGTTGAAAGATTCAACTAAAATTGACATTGATCGAATTTCGCCTTATTTCTTAAAACAGTGCAGTAAATCCATTTGTTTTCCCTTAGCTCATATTTTTAATCTCTCTTTATCTAAAGGTTTATTTATAGATAGATGGAAGATTTCTTCAGTTACCCCTGTTTATAAAACTGGTGCTAAGAATGATATAAAAAACTATAGACCTATATCTAAATTATCCAGTGTTTCTAAGCTTTTCGAACATATTATATTTAATTTCCTTTTTAACTCGGTTCATTCATTTCTATTAGTTTCTCAGCATGGTTTCATAAGAAATAGATCAACGGTGACAAATCTTCTTCTTTTTACAAATTATTGTATTTCCAATTTTGAGGATGGATATCAAGTCGATGCTATCTACTTTGATCTTTGTAAAGCATTTGACAGAGTTTCACACAAAATTTTATTGGCAAAGTTGCATAAAATAGGTATTCATTCTTCTTTTCTATTATGGATTGAGTCATATCTTAATAATAGGCTTTGTTTTGTTAATGTTGAAAGTTTTAATTCTGACTACTACGTTGCCACTTCTGGTATACCACAGGGTAGTATTTTAGGCCCCCTATTGTTTATATTATTTATAAATGATATTGATTCTTGTTTTCTTTTTGGGAAATTTCTTCTATACGCGGATGATATTAAATTATTTGCAAAAATTTCCAGTTTTCAGGATTCTAAATTATTACAAGCTGATATAAATCGATTATTTTCTTGGAGTCAATTAAACAAATTGGATTTCAACATTTCTAAGTGTGTTCACCTACCATTTAGTAGGCGTTTACAAAAAATTGATACTCAGTATCAAATTAATAATATTTTATTGTCAAAAGTATATACTAAACTTGACCTTGGGGTTGTTTTTGATTATGAACTTTCATTCAAATATCATATTGATTATATTATGCCTAGAGCTTATTCGGCTTTAGCATTTTTAAAACGCAATTGTAAAGAATTTTCCGATCCATATACTCGTAAATTATTATTTACAACTTTCGTTCGATCTAAGCTTGATTATGCGTCAATAGTATGGAATCCATATTATGCTATGCACGTTAATCGCTTGGAAAGGCTACAAAAAAAGTTTATCTATTTTGCTTTATATTCATTAAAGTTTTCCTTACCTCTGCCATCTTATGAATCTAGGTGTAAACTTATACATCTGGATTTATTGAGTGATCGTAGATCTAAAATGTCTATCATTTTTCTTTATAAATTGGTTTGTGGATATATAGATTGTCCTGATTTGCTTCGGTTAATTGGATTCAAAGTACCGGCAAGACCCCTTAGATTTGTTGAATATTTTCATGTAAAAACACATAATAGTAACTATGCCCAAAATGAGCCCATTGTAAGAATGCTTAACCAATTCAATCTAATAAATATAGAATTAAGTTTGGATTTTACTTATACTTTAGATAAATTTAAAGAATTATTAGATTTACACTTTATCTCATAATAATCTAGTCTGTAAGGATTTATACTTCCATAGACTGAAATAAATAAATAAATAAATGTATAATCTACGGACACAAGCAAGAAGGAAGTACGAAAAGACAAAGGCGTGGTCTGATGCTCTGGAACTTGCCGATATTGAACGACGGCTTTTTCGAATGTGCGAAAAAAAGAAGAGGAGAAACTTCAGGAAATTTCTCAGCCATTTGAACAATCCAATTTCAAGTAAGGATATGTGGTCTAAACTTAGGAATGTTAAGAAGTACGGGAAAGTCAAGCCGATTAATAGTTCATGGAGTCATGAACAAAATGAAGAATTCCTTGATTTTATAACACGGCAGTCCATTTCTGGTTGTAACGACGCACCCATAGTCTTCGGGAACTTGATAAGCCAAAGGCCTACCTTGGACATTAAGTGCTTCGAAGTCTTTCTCGACTCTAGAAGCCCTACGTCAGCAGCAGGACCAGATGGTGTATCGTATAAAATGATAAACAGTCTTAACGCAACCGAAAGGCAGGAATTTTTTAATATTCTGGTTGAAATATGGAACAAAGGTAGCTTCCCGAGCGAATGGAGAAGAATTAGGATTTCTGCGATCCCCAAGAGGGGCAAAGATCCTGGAAACATTCAAAATTATCGCCCAATTGCACTTATGTGTGCATCACAAAAGATTTTGGAGAGCGCCATCAAGAGTATGATTCTTCGTTTTACTGAAGATAATGGGATAGTTCCCCCTAGGTCATATGCATTTAGACCGGGTAGATCCACGTCCATGTGCATCAATGATGTGATCAACACCATTGAATTCTATAAAAAGTCTGGCAATCAAGTGGTTGGAGTGTGTATTGACATCGAGAAGGCGTATGATTATACGAACATAAATCAATTGGCGGTAGTAATGTTTCGGAAAGGGTATAATCCACACATAATCAAATGGATTGTGGACAGTATGAAACGCAGGCAATTGGAGTTGGGTAAGAGTAGAAGAATTGTAGTGAATGGTCTTCCTCAAGGAAGTGGTCTCAGCCCGTTGCTCTTTAATATCTACACGTCTTCCTTGCATGACATCAATTCCAGTAACATCGACATCTTTCAGTTTGCGGATGATTTTTTCTTGGTTTGCCACGACAAAAGCTTCCAAAAGGCAAGTGAAATTCTGACTGAAAGTATTAGCCGCTTCCACGAGGACTGTAAGGGGCTAGGTCTGGGTTTTAATATGAACAAAATTAACACTGTTCACTTTTCAAGAAGGCCTAAACAAATGAATATATGCATTAATGGTATTTCAGTCAAACAGGTGGCAAACATCAAATATCTGGGTCTCGTCATTTCTGCTGGCGGCTCTTCTAAGATACACATCGACGAAGCTACTTCATCGACAGATAAAGTTAATAACTTCCTTCACATTTTAAGTGGATGCAGCTTTGGAATTTCCCCAGCCAAAGCCATGCATTTTTACAAGGCGTTTGCCAGAGCAAAACTGGAGTATGGAGCATCTGCATTATCCAATCTAACAAAAGCATCTGCTAGTAAAATCAAAACTAGTACGCACAAGTTTTTACGTAGGGCGCTGGGTCTTATCCGTTCCACACCTGTACCCATTTTATATCAGCTTGCGTGTGAATTACCCCCAAAATACAGATTTGAGCTGGCAACAGCCAAGGAGTTAGTCAAAGCCAAGGCCTTTGGATTGCCAAGTCTGGAGAATATCAGGCGTATGCAGAGCAGAACAACTAGTTATACGATAGTGTTTGACAAGTATCTGCAAATTGTGGAAAATGTTGCAACGACACGAATTATGCCCGTTGCAAGTAAGCGTATTTCAAGTGATGTGGATTTCTTTGAGGGCGCAGGCTCTAGAAAAAGAGGTGTAAGCGAGGAGGTGGTGAAACAATTTTTTCGAAAGAAAATAAGCAAGATTCAGGAGTCTGGCATAGACATTTTTTTCACAGACGGTTCGGTGAAAGATGATGTATCCGGTGCAGCTTTTTTACATCTAAACAGTAATACTACTGAAGCATTCTGGGTCAGTGGGAGGTGGTCATCTATGTCGGCGGAAGTTCTAGCTTTTCGCCAAGTCGCTATATTTGCAAAGGAACGGAACTTAAAGAACATTGCTATATTGACTGACAGTCTAAGTGGTATTGCGGCAGTAGAATCCACACAGCACAAAAACTATTTGATAAATGAATTTATTGATATCATCAATACAGCGGGTATAGAAACTCAGTTCCATTACATCCCTGGTCACGCAGGGATTGGTCCCAATGAGCTGGTGGACCAGGCAGCAAAGAACGCACCAGTAAATGACACTTGCCTGAACTTAATGTGGCCAATAAAGGATGCTATTTGCAGAATTCAAGAGTCAGTATGGGCAGAATGGGCTGATGAATGCAAATCCATAGCTGAACGGAACTCCTCTCATTTTTTATAAAATTTTTTCTCAACCATCTAAACACCCATGGTATAGCAAAACGAAATTACACCCAGATGATCAGAGAGTGATTAACCGCATACTGAGTAACCACACCTTCAGCAACAGCACATTGGCCAAAATGAATGTAGTCGGTTCTGGTGAGTGCCAAGTTTGCAAGACGGAAGAGACGGTCACTCACATTTTGTTTGTTTGCACAAGATTCACCACCACCAGAGTAAAGTTTGCATCGTTCAATGGAATCCAAACAGTAGAGGATTTCATTAAAAAACATAATTGGAATCATCTTTACGACTTAGTCAAATTTATCAAGGAAATTAAAGTCAAAATCTAACCCTCATTGAAGGCTCGTAGACAAAGTCTACTTAATTGGTGGTGGCGCTGTTAAAACTCGACCATCGGGAGGCGGGCCAAAAACTTAAAACAAAAAAAACAAAAAAAAATACCACACTTTATAGGGCAAAGGCATATGAGAGGGATCATTATTGATTACCTCTAGTGGGAAATCGGAAGGTATCAAGGGGTTTTAATTATGTAAGTAATTACTTATGGTGTTTTTACACGATATGTATTTTACATATGTGCTGTCACTTTAATTACATATGGAAATCGAACTCATGTGAAACATACGGAAATTTCAATGTGTCAAAACGATATGCAATTACATACATATGTATATTTTCCGAATAGGACGCGCTCTATTTTCGTATGTGAAACATAAGGAAATCAGCTGTTTGAATGAAACACATTGTTGGAAGAAAATATTTCAAATGCAAGTCAAAGAAAAGGATGAAAAGGCAACAATTAGAAATTATTATTTCGTTTGTAGTTGTTTAATAAAAAATATTATCTTGATTTAAGAAAAAATAAAAGTGTTTTTTTTTTTTTTTGTTTATAGGTTATGTCATATATAAAATACATATGTCAATTTGTATGAATAAACGGCGTGATTATAATACAGGAGATATGCCAAAAAGAGGAGATATACAGATGTTTCTAAGCGATTGTTGTGAACCTCAACGCACAAGAAGTACTAAATTTCAGCTTTAAATTCAAACCTCCAAAATGTGGACCAATACTGATACCGCTTGGTTGGATAGAACACGTGGTTAAAATCCTTAAAAATACCACACTTTATAGGGCAAAGGCATATGAGCAGTGCTTGTATGAACATACGGCCACAGCCCAAAAATTGATCCTGTCGATTATCCTGATAAGAAAAAAGGATACAAATCAAATTTTTTAATGCAGTGGCCCTCAATCTAGAGACGCTGAAACTTTCGTCCCACAATTCGAAAAAAATAATTACAGAACTACTCGGGTTAAAATTGATCTAAAAAAGTGCAACAATATTGATCAGTTTTGATAGTGATAGTACCCAATAAGAATCTATAAATAGCAGACTTTAGTAATTTCTGTTGAAAACTGTGTATATACATATTTATAATTATATTTGTTATAGTTTGCAATAAGATTATTAAGATCACCTCTTGTAAATACAAAAGTTGGTGAGGTATTCGACACTGTCGAACATTGCTTTATAAATGTGTATGAAAACAGATTATGTTGATATTTTTTGTAGAGCTGTGAATGTTTGTTTCGAAACACAGGTCTGAAACATTTAAGAAAAATGTTGCTTATCATATCAATATTATAATTATAAAAAAATAAAATTATACCAACTTACTATGATAATAAGTCATACATCGGTTTCCGCAGCAGAAACGGTATCAATCGCGGAAAATTCTCTATATATGAACCTTGTATGTTCAAGGAGTATTTTGTTTACCACACTAATATTTTAATTCCAATCGAAATTCATTGCTACCTAGAATAGCAAGAATTAGCTTTTTCGTCTCCAAAAATACATTTTGTTGTTCGTCACACATTTCTTAAAAAATTGTAGACCGAGAAACCAGAAATGACACATTTAAATTTGATGCAATCGTTGCAAAAAACAATCATGAAAAAAATAATAATGAAAAACTATTCTGAGTCACCCAGTATTTAACGATCTAGTTGGCAACGCCCATTGAGAATGCTAAGTAACGCCGTTCGCTTAATAACAAGGGTCGACGTATAGCGCAAATAACACTGCGAATAATTCTTTGTTATAATATTGGAACTTTCATAATTAAATATATTTTAAATCAATTAAGTCATATTATTAATTCTTATTACAATTATGAAAAAGTGACCAGCAATGACTGTAACAAAAAAACCCAGCTTTTTTATACTATGTACAGACGAGCGTTGTTCCCTCTCTCCTTCGTTGTTCGACTCTTATAGTACGTTTACATTTAACCGGATTTCGTTAACCCAGTGGGTTTCAATTGTCAATTCCTTTGCATATATGTCAAATAAATGCTCATAATGTAGGTTAACCCGGTAAAAAATTCTAATGTATATGCTGTTTTAATTATGAAGTAATTACTTATGGTGTTTTTAAACAATATGTATTTTACATATGTGCTGTCACTTTATTTACATATGGAAATCGAACTCGTCATGTGAAACATACGGAAATTTCAATGTGTCAAAACGATATGCAATTACATACATATGTATTTTTTTCGAATAATACGCGCTCTATTTTCGTATGTGAAACATAAGGAAATCAGCTGTTTGAATCAAACACATTGTTGGAAGAAAATATTTCAATTGCAAGTCAAAGAAAAGGATGAAAAAGCAACAATTACAAATTATTATTTCGTTTGTAGTTGTTTAATAAAAAATATTATGTTGATTTAAGAAAAAATAAAAGTGTTTTTTGTTTATAGGTCATGTCATATGTAAAATACATATGTCAATTTGAACACAAGAATTAAATGTTTTGTGTACACACTTCTAATTTTGACACACATAAGGAATTACATATGGATGAAATAAGTGACAGCACATATCTAAAATACATATCGCGTAAAAACACCATTAGTACCCCATACAAAATTTTCTGAGCAAACACCGATTTTGTACATTGTTCAATTCGAATCACTCTCTGAATAACCAAGAATTTTGTCCCTTCACTAACAATTGAAAGCATTTATCGAAAATAAGTTAATTTTGACAGCATGAAAATATTTAATTTTCAAACTTTTTTGAAAATGATGAATAAAAAGTAAAAAAAAATCTAGTTTTTATATATGCAAAAGGAAGTAAATTTTGTAATCTACATAATGCAATTTGCAATTCTTTCCCTTTGGTTCTAATTAGCGTACAAAACGAGAGAAACAAATATGGGGAAACCAAAACAAAAATTCTCCAATTTTTTATATGTGACATTTGAATTGAGAAAATACGAAAATATATTTAAAACAACAATATTTTCAGAAAAAATTGAAAACATGAATTAAAAGTAAATATATATGGGCTAAGACTATAGTCAGGAGAAAGAGAATTATTTTTCTATTTAGATCCATATGTGATTCACGCAAATATGTTAATGAATTAAGAATAGTGATGACATGAATTAAGAATGGTGTTGTATGAACGGGTTAATTCATGTACGTAGTTCTGAGAGCGAACTACGTTGTTCGTATGTCCGTCAGAACAGAACGGCATTACTGGTTCGTACAGTTCGATTTTTTTCCCTTACAGGCCTACCTTATTTTCTACTAGCTCGTTCGACTTTATTCACCACAAAAGTAGAACACAAGTATTTATATGAATGTTACCGAAATACGTCGACGTACGAATTTTTAAAGTTGAAAAAATGCAACTATGACAGTACTTAGTTTTGTTTTTTCCTTTGTTGAAAATAGAAAAAAAAAATAATGAAAAAATAATTTTTTTCATTAAGAATAGGAAATATTTAACACATTTAAAATTCTTTAATTTTATTTCGCGATTTTAATTAGTTTTCTAAGTGATATGTATTCGACGTATTTGGGTAATTCGGCCGTAGAAAACATTTTGCCATAGTGGGAAAGTTGAATATTTTTGTATGCCCCGATGGAATTTAGGTAACGTTGTTATGCAAAATTTTCAATTAAATGGACTTCCTATATGGTTCGTTGCGCTTAAGCGAAATTCTCCATCAATCTTTGAACAGTGAAATTTTTAAGGGTCGAACATAATTAAGGGTCGAACAACGAATGAGAGAGCGAACAACGCTCGTCTGTACATGGCATTAAAAACATCATTTTCATTTCAATTAAATTTGAATATATTCCAATTTATTTTGAATTTATTTGACATAGTATTCGAAACAATACACATACACAAAGTAAGTATTTTGATTTGATGGAACAAGCCATCTTGAGAAAATATTGTAATAAGTTGGTAGCTGTGCCTTATCTTGTAATAATTATACCATGGGACCTGATTACAATTTTTTTCTCAAGTGACTT